TATTTTTTATTGATTTTTTAAAAATTCTATTTGTATGTGTGTATTGTCTGCATGTAGGTAAGTGCACCTATGTTATACAATGCCCACGGAGGACAGAAGAGGCTATTGGATCCCCTGGAACTGGACAGTTGTTAGCTGCCATGTGGGTGCTGGGTTACGAACCCAGGTCTTATGCAAGAACAGCCAGTGTTCTTAACAACTGAGCAATCTCTCCAGCCCACATAAAAATGTCTTTTTAAAAGAAATTTCCCAATCCATTGTGAAATGAATAGCTAAATAGCTGTTTTATAGGTTATCTGACTTTTCTAAGTTCCATAGTTAGATTAAAAAGTCTTCAGGGGCTAGAGAGGTGGCTTAGCGGTTAAGAACAATGGCTGTTCTTACAAAGGACCTAGGTTTGATTCCCAGCACCCACATGGCAGCCAACAAATATCCCTAAATCTAGTTCTAGAGAATCTAACTCTCTCTTCTGACTTTGGCAGGCACTGCACGACATGGGTGCACCTACCAACATGCAGGCAATACACTCATAAATAAATAAAAGATTTTAAAAAATAATAAAAGTCTTCAACAGAAATTACCAGATATAGTGCCTTTGGAAACCACCTATGTTTACTTGAGATAAAGTAAATTATAAAGATAAGATAAACTTTAGATTAATTTCTTATTTTTTAAAAATTAAAATTAGATCTAATGCTGGGTGTGGTGGCAGACGCCTTTACTCCTAGCATTTGGGAGGCAGAGGCAGAGGCAGGTGGAACTCTGAGTTCATGGCCAGCCTGGTCTACATAGTGGCTTCCAGGCCAGCTGGGGCTACCGGGAAAACCTGTCTCAAAAAAAGACCTAAATAAATAAAAAATAAAATTAGGTCTTGAAAAACTATTTTTATGTGTGTGAGTGTTTTGCCTACTTAGTGTGTAAATCCATCTGTGCATGCAGTGCCTGCAGAAGCCAAAAGATTTCCTGGAACTGGGAACATGGCAATTGTTAGCTGCCATGTGGATGCTGGGAACTGAACCTTGGTCCTCTGCAAGAACCGCCAGTGCTCCTAACTGCTCAGTCATCTCTTTAACCCTAGGGAAAAAAAAATTATTGTTTTTTGTTTTATCTTTTTGAGACAGGGTCTCTCTGTAGCCCCAGCTGACCTGAAACTCACTATGTAGACTAGGCTGGCCTTGAACTCACTAGGATCTGCCTGCCTCTGCCTCCCAAGCGATGGGATCAAAGGTGTGTGCTAGCACACCTGGCTGAAAAATATTTTTTGTGTATGTCTAAAACATAATCTAAGCTGGGCGTGGTGGTGCTCGCCTTTAATCCCAGTGCTCCGGAGGCAGAAGCAAACAGATCGCTGTGAATTCAAGGCCAGCCTGGTCTACATAGTGCGTTCCAGGACAGCTGGGCCTACAAGGAGAGCCTGTCTCAAAAGGGGAGAGCTGGAGCGATGGCTCAGTGGTTAAGAGTACTTATTATTCTTTCAGAGTTTGATCCCCAGCACTAACACTGGTCAGCTCACAACCACTTGTAACTCTAACTCCAGGCGATCAGATCATACATGCAGGCAATACACTCATACACATAAAAATAAATAAATAAAATATATTAAAAAAAAGAAAAAGGCGTAGTGGCACATGCCTTTAGTCCCAGCACTTGGGAGGCAGAGGCAGGCAGATCTCTGTGAGTTCAAGGCCAGCCTGGTCTACATAGTGACTTCCAGGACAGCTGGGGCTACAGGGAGACCCTGTCTCAAAAAGACCAAAAAAAGAACGAATACTGCTTTTTGTTGGGCTTCATGGCACAGGGCTTTTATCCTAGCACTCAGGAGGCAGAGGCAGGCATGTCTCTTGAGTTTAAGGCCAACCTGGTCTGTGTAGTGAATTCTAGGGCATCTGGGGCTACAGGGAGACCTGTCTCAAAAAATAAAAAGCCTTTCCAAGTACTGGAATTACAGACATTCGCCACTATTCCTGATTTATACAGTGCTGGTGCTAGGGATTAAACCCAGGCCTTTGTGCCTGGTTAAGCAAGCACTCTACTAACTGAGTTATGTCTCTGTCCTTGTATCTTAAATTTCATTCACTTAAATACCACATTTTTTTTCCATGTTGATCATTTTCCCCATTTTTTTAGTAATTGTTATTTTCTGTAGTGTATACACTTGTGAAAATCATGGATCTTTCTTTAGGAAAGAAACATGCCAAGTGTTCTTGTATGTGCTATACTTGACTTAAGTGGAGACAGGAGGATCAGAAGTTCAAGATATGGGACTGATGAAATGGCTCAGTGGGTAACACTGGGACCCACATCGTGGAATCCTCCAGCTTCCACATTTGTCCTGGGGCAAGGAAATGTACATGTGTGCATGTAAACACACACATATTAAAAAATATATATTAAAAGTTCAAAGTAATTGAGGGCTGGAGAGATGGCTCAGCAGTTAAGAGCACTGGCTGCTCTTACAGAGGACCCATGTTCAGTTCTCAGCACCCACATGGCAGCTAACAACTGTCTATAACTCCAGCGCCAGGGGATCCGACACCCTCTTCTGACCTCCAAGGGCATCATTGCATGACATGGGTGCAGTTGTATACGTGCAGGCAATACACGCATGCACATAAAATTAAAATGTTTTAAAAAGTTCAAAGTAATCCTTGGCTCCAAACTTAATTTGAGTCTAGCCTGGACTACATGAGACCCTGTCTAAAAAAAGTTTATGCATGTATGTCTGTTTGTGTGGTATTATGACTTCAGAGGGAAGTGCTTGAGGGGAATTTAGAGATTAGCATTGATTCCTTTGGCAGAGGTTTGCAGCCTAGGGTCAGTGGTAGCCATTGATTTGCCTTTTCATTTAGTGAGTTTTTTTCCACTAGTTTTTGTTTAGCACTCACGATAATCTGCTTCTTTGGAGTATTCATACCTTATTTTAATTCAACAGAGGATAGTAGAAAATGAGAAGATTAATGCAGAAAAGTCATCAAAACAGAAGGTGGATCTACAATCTTTGCCAACTCGTGCCTACCTGGATCAGACAGTTGTGCCCATCTTGTTACAGGGACTTGCTGTGCTTGCAAAAGAAAGGTAAGAGCATTGGGACTGGAAGTAGCAGAGAAAGTAAAGACATTGGCACTTGAAACATCATTAGTTGTATATAGTGGGTTTGGGATATGATGTTTGTATTTACTGATGTTAATTTTTTTCTTTTTTTGGTTTTTTGAGGCAGGGTTTCCCTGTATTGGTGCTGGCTTGGAACTCACTTTATAGAACAGGCTGGCCTTGAACTCACAGAGATCCGCCTGCTTCTGCCTCCTGGCTACCGGGACTAAAGACATGTACCACCATGCCTGGCTAATGTTAAATTTTTTATTGAAAATTTTTCTATTATATTTATTTACGTTGTGGGAAGGCACACAAATGCCATGGTGCACATGTGGAGGTCAGCTTTTGGGAGTCAGTTCTCTTTGTACCATGTGGATTCTGGAGATGGAACTCAGGTCCTCAGGCTTGGTGGCATGCACCTTTACCCACTGAGCCATCTTGCTGGTCCTATTGATGTTAATTTTGTTTTTGAAGATTTTATTTTTATGTGTGTGCACACACTTATAGGTGCTCTCAGATGCTGGATCCCCTGGAGGTGGAGTTATAGGCAGTTATCAACTACCCAACATGGGTGGGTGATAGGAATTGAGCTTAGGTCCTCTGCAGGAGCAGTATGTGCTCTTAACCATCAAGTCATTTCTCCAGCCCCATGATGTTAAACTCTTTTTTAAAAATGGCCTAGGGACTGGAGAGATGGTTCAACGGTTAAGAACACTGGTTGTTCTTGCAGAAGACCTGGGTTCATATCCCAGCACCCACATGGCAGCTAACAACTGTCCATAACTCCAGTTCCAAGGGATCCAACAGCCTCTTCTGATCTCCGAGGGCTTTGCATGACATGGGTTCACTTACCTACATTCAGGCAATACATGCATATATATTAAAAAAAAAAAAAAAGCCTAACCTGGGCGTGGTGGTGCATGCCTTTAGTCCCAGCACTCAGGAGGCAGAGACAGGAGTGTCTCTGTGAGTTCAAGGTCAGCCTGTTCTACATAGTGTGTACCAGGCCAGCTGGTGCTACAGGGAGACCGTGTCTCAAAAAGACCAAAAAAAAAAAGAAAAAAAAGAAATCAGCCTTACTCTCAAAACTCAAAGGCATTAATTTTCTTTCTGCTAGTCTTAGAGCACATACATATTTATAAAGATTTAGAATTATGATCTGCATGGAATTTTGTATCTTTTTTACTTAAGGACAAAATTTTTCTATATAGTCTTCATTGTTAAAATTACAGTACTACCACAATTCACTTAGCCATTTTCCCATTGCCTTTTTTTTATTTGAGACAGGGTTTCATGTAGCTTAGACTGACTTTGTCCTCACTATGTGGCCAAGGATGACCCTGAACCTCTGAGCCTCCTACCTCTATTTCCCAAGTGCTTGAATTTTAGGATGTGATACTGCCTGTGGTGTTTTCAGTGCTGGAGATTGGGCCCAGGGCCTTATGCATGCTAAGCAAGCATTCTGCCAACTGCTATATCCCTAGTAGTTTCTTGTTTTTTTCAAAGACAGGGTCTCATGTAGCCCAGCCTGACCTTGGACTCCTGATCCTTCTCCCTCTAGCTCCTAACTGCTAGGATTCCAGGTGTGTTCTACCATAGCTGATCCATTTTCTTTCTTTTTTAAATTTTATTTATTATTATTTTATTTTATGTGTGTATTGCCTGCATGTAGGTAAGTGTATCTGTGTTGTGCAATGCCTGCAGAGGAGAGCAGAGGCCATCAGATCCCCTGGAACTGGAGTTAACGGACAGTTGTTAGCTGCCATGTGGGTTCTGGGATTCGAACCTGGGTCTCTGCAAGAATAGCCAGTGTTCTTAACCGCTGAGCCCCCTTTTCTTTCTTTTTTAAAAAAATTATTTATGTGTATGAGTGTTTTGCCGGCATGTGTTTAAGTGTACCCGTGTCATGCAGTGCCCATGGAGGTCAGCAGAGGGCATTGGATACCCTGGAACTGGAGTTACAGATGGTTGTTAGCTGCTATGTGGGTGCTAGGAACCCAGCCTAGGTCCTCTGTAAGAGCAGTCAGTGCTCTTAACTGCTGAGCCATCTCTCTGTCCCTGCTTTTTTTTTTTTTTTTTATTAAGCAGGGTCTCATGTACTCTTGCTGGCCTTGAACTTGCTGTGCAGCTGAAGAAGGCTGTGAACTCATCCTCCTACCTCTACCTCCCAACACTGGGATTATAGTACTGTGCTACCATGCCCAGCTCCTAAGTCATTTTTGTAAAAACAAAAGAAGCAAATTTGTTTTGTAAATTAGTTTTTATTAGATGTATATTGTTTAGGCTCTTCTTCAGGCATATATTTTATAAGTGAGTAGTCCTTGGAACAATAGATATTTATTTAAAATATTTAAAATATTTATTTAAAATATTTAAAATATTTTATTATGTCTAGTTATTTCCTTGTGTGTGTGTATATATGTGTGTGCCATGATGTGAATGTGAAAGGACAATTTGCTGGCTCAGTTCTCTCTCTTCACCATGTGTGTTATGGGATCAAACTCAGGTTGTCAGGTTTGGCAGAAAGCACCTTTACCTCCTGAGCTATCTCTTGAGGCCAAATAATAATAATGCAACAACTACATAGTTAAGAATACCCAGGTTGGACTTCATATCTATCACTTTTGTGTAAGTTATTCTTGCTGAAAAATCCAAAGATTAAAAGTTGGGAGAATTGCGCTGGGCGTGGTGGCGCATGCCTTTAATCCCAGCACTGGGGAGGCAGAGGCAAGCGGATCTCTGTGAATTCAAGGCCAGCCTGGTCTACATAGTGAGTTCCAGGACAGCTGGGGTTACTGAAAAAAAACAAAGTTGGTGAATTATCATATACTCTGCTTTGGAAAGACACACTGATAGGAAAGACATACTGGTAGGACTGAGCATGGTAGCACTCCTTCCTGATCGCCACAAATTTAATTAATTGAAATATCTTTTTTTTAATATATATTTTATTATTTTTATTTTATGCGTATGCGTGTATTGCCTGCGTGTAGGTAAGTGCACCCGTGTCATGCAATGCCTGAGGAGGACAGAAGAGGCTATCAGACCCCCTGGAACTGGAGTTACAGATAGTTGTTAGCTGCCATGTGGGTGCTGGGATTAGAACCCGGGTCTTCTGCAAGAACAGTCAGTGTTCCTAACCACTGAGCCATCTCTCCAGCTTCTGAAACATCTTTTAAAAAAGAAATAACTAGCCAGAAGTGGTGGCACACACCTTTAATCCCAGCACTTGGGAGGCAGAGGCAGGTGGATCTCTTAAGTGTAAGGCCAGCCTGATTTACATAGGGAGTTCCAGGCCAGCTGGGGCTACATAGTGAGACCCTTTTTCCAAAAATAAGTGGGGTGGGGGCGCTGAAGAGATGGGTCAGAGGTTAAGAGCACTGGCTACTTTTGCAGAGGACCTGGGTTTGGTTTCCAGCACCGACATGGTGGCTAGCAACTGCCTGTAAATCCAATTCCAGGGAAATCTGAGGTCTTCTTCTGACTCCTTGGGCACTGCGGGACTTGGCATCCTAGGAATTGCATGACACAGGTTGCACTTAACATGTAAGGAAAACACTCATACACATAAAATAATAAATTTTTTTTTTTGGTTTTTTTTTGAGACAGGGTCTCCCTGTAGCCCCGGCTGTCCTGGAACTCACTATGTAGACCAGGCTGGCCTTGAACTCATAGAGATCTGCCTGCCTCTGCCTCCCAAGTGCTGGGACTACAGGTGTGTGCTGCCACGCCTGGCTAATAAATAAATTTTTAAAAATTAAAAAAAAAAGCTTCTTGTCTCAATAAATGTTAATTCCTTTCATTAGTCAATTATCTGTGGAATTCATCTCTGTGTTAATAATGCTAATGTCTTTTATTTATTTGTTCTCTTGCTGAAGGAAAATACTTAGAAAGCTCCACATATTGTAGTTTTAGAGCTTTGTGAATATTCAGAAGCTAAATACACCTATAAGATATGCACTCAGATCAAGTAGGTGAACACTGCTAGTATCCTAGAAGGTGCCCTCTGGCCCTTGAGTCCTCATTCACCCTTAGGCAAGAGGCATTCCATTGTTACATTTTCTAAGCTTGTGTTTTGGGGCTAGCAAAATGGCTCAGCAAGGAGAGGTGCTTGCCATGCCTAATTGGCAACTTGAATTCAGTCCTCCGAACCCATGTAAAGGGAAAGGAGAGAATTGATTTTACAGAGTTGTCCTCTGACCTCCACATGGCTGCTGAGGCATGCCCCATGCACACACAATAATAATAATAAATAAAAATCAGGCAAAACCCCTTATGTTTTAGAATTGAATCCATAACTTATTTTAAGTTATTAAAGAACTTAAGTTCTTTGAAACTTTATTCTTGGCTAATTTGCTTGCCTATCTCATTTATCATATTTACTACAAATAGTCTTTGTGAAATGAAAATTAAACAAGTGGTTTTTTTGTAAATGGTATGATACATCTAAATTAACATACCTGCAAAATATATCTTTAAACTTTGTATTTCTTTTCCCTTACAGACCACCAAATCCCATTGAATTTCTAGCATCTTACCTTTTAAAAAACAAGTCACAGTTTGAAGATCGAAACTGATTTCTTGGGAAGAAAGAGAAATTTGGTTGCTACTGTAGATTTACATGATTATGAGGCAGTTTTAATTGCCATGATTCCCCCCTACCCCTCTTGGAAGTATAAGAACCTTCAGGACAACAGAACTTATTTCTGGAGTTGCAGAAGAGAATATATTTCCTCTGATTTAATTACCACATTTATTTAATGAGCATCATCTGTGCAATTTTTTCTCAGATTGTCTTTTTGTTTTTAAAAACAACCTTCAAAATAAACTGTCAAAACACTATCGTTTTATAATAGTCTTTGTTTTGTGTGCCAAATATTTTGTTTGTTTTCATGAATTGCTTCTTGTGTCTTTGAATGCTGTAGAGTGAAAATACAATATAATCAAACATAATGTAAAAAAACCTCAACTTGGGAGGCAAAGGTGGGCAGATCTTGTGAGTTCAAGGCCAGCCTGTTCTACATAGTAATTTCCAGGCCTGCTGGGGCTACAGGGAGAGCCTGTCTCAAAAAGACCAAAAACCAAACCAAACCAAATGACTCAATGGTTAAGAGCACTGACTACTCTTGCTGAGGGCTGGGCTCAGTTCTGAGCACCTGTGTGGTGGCTAACAGCTGTCCTAACTCCAGTTCCAGGGGGATGTGATTTCCTCTGCAAGCATCGCATGCATGTGGTACACTTACTTGCAGGCAAAGCACTCATACACATAAAATAAATTAAAAAAAAAAAACCCTCAATGTTTTCAGCTTTTTCACTAGACCCTTCTGAGGGTGGGATGTAGGACAACATCCAACAGATGATACAGGTAATGCTAATGGACAATGATGTTGGAGTACTGGTCAGGTCATTGCAGAGTATCTGGTATCCAGTGTTTTAGAGTGATGACGGGATAGATAATAGCTATTGCAGAGTATCTAGTATCCAATGTTTAGAGTGATGACCGGATAATAGTGATCATTTTTGTAGTCCCACTGTTTCAGGCATAGTAGTTTAGTTCTTTGTTCTGTTGGGTTTTTTGTTTATGTTTTTCCTTTTTTTTTTTTGAGATGGTCATTTGGTAACCCTAGCTGGCCTGGAACTCACTATGTAGACCAGGCTGGCCTTGATCTCAGAGATCTACCTGCCTCTGCTGAGTGCTGGGGTTAAAGGCATGCACCAACCAGCAAGGTTAAATTATCTCTTAGAGGACTAGAGAGATGGCTCAGTGGTTAAGAGCACTGACTGCTCTTGCAAAGGACCTGGGTTTGATTCCCAGCACCCACATGGCAGCTAATAACCATCCTAATTCCAGTTCCAAGGGATCTGATGCCCTCTTCTGATCTTCTCAGGCATTGTATGATACAGATGCACTTACACACATGCAGGCAATATACTCATAACATAAAAGTAATAAATATCTTACATAGCAACCTTCAGAGTAGTTATTCCCAGGATTTTGTAGATGAGAAAACAAACTTGAAGAGATTAAATGCCTTGTCAGAACAGCACTACTGGTTAAGTGCTTGGATGGGAATTCAAAGGTGTTGCTGATAGCTAAGTAACAAGTACTTGGGCTGCTTAGTATTGTTGCTTCTCTTTGCCATAAAAAAATAGTATTTTTGTTTTGTATCTATTCTTATCTCAAGAAATTGAGATCCCTCTGAAGAAATTGAGATAGCTCAGTAGCTCGGAAAATAGAGACCTAGGGAAAGCATTGACTAGGGAAATTATTCTCAAGTGGGAATAAATGTTTTCCCCTTTGGTGATGTAAACACACATTTTAGTTACCACATTTGAGTGAGGTTGGATTCTGCTGGGATCTGGCTAGAACTCAGAATATTAAGTATCTTGGAAGGTACAGGATAGTCCATGTGCCCACTCCTCCCTCAGTTACCCAGTTCCAACTATCAATAGCACCAAATTGAGAAATTTTACACAGCATATAGTCATGTCTCCATGCTAAAAGCCTTTGCAAAATTAATGTTAGACATGATTTACAATGCTCCTTAGTGTAGGAAATAGTTACTTAGGATTGGCACTTGGTGGGGAGGTGACACTGGTTTTCACTTAAACCTGCAGATCCAGGGCTGGAGAGATGGCTCAGTGGTTAAAACCACTGGCTGTTCTTCCAGAGGATCTGGGTTTGGATCCTAGTACCCACATGGTGGCTAGCAACCAACTGTAACTCCAGTTTCAGGGGATCTGACAACTTTCTTCTGACCTCCTAGGTCACTGTACATACAACACAGGTGTGCTCCATACATGCAGGCAATATATACACATAAAAAATAAACATTTTAAAATCTGGAGATCCATATATTTGAATTGAAAAAAACCCTAGAAACATTGAAAACTGCATCTATAGAAGCTGTCACATGTATTAAACCTACCAAATGTATTTTGATAACTTGATGTAGCTTAGTGATCAAATTTTGTGTTGTTTTGTTTGTTTGACACAGGGTCTAGCTATATAGCTCAGGCTGTCCTCAAATACTGTGGTACTTTTGCTTCTGCTTCCTGAGAGCTAGGATTACAAGGATTACAATTCGTGTGTTCTACCCAGGCCCAGCACACTGAAGTATTTTCGGTGATATGTTAACATTTGAGGTACTGGGTAATTTTGTTATGAAAGCATCAATAATGCTGTCTTTTTAGCAGTTTTTCTTTTTTTGGTCTTTTTTTTTGGGGGGGGGTCTTTTTGAGACAGGGTTTCCCAGAAGCCCCAGCGGGCTTGGATTCACTATGGAGACCAGGCTGGCCTTGAACTCACAGAGATCCGCCTGCCTCTGCCTCCCAAGTGCTGGGATTAAAGGCTTGAGCCACCATGCCCGGCATCTTTTTTTTTGGTCTTTTTGAGACAGGATCTCACTGTAGCTCAAGCTGGCCTGGAACTCACTAGGTAGACCAGGCCTCGAAGATCTGCCTGCCTCTTGTCTCTGCCTCCCAAATTCTGGGATTAAAGGCATGTGCTACTACCACGCCTGGCTTTTTTTTTTTTTTTTTTTTTTTTTTCCATCAATTGTTCACATTACAGCTACTTGGTAACTTTTCAAATGTAAATATAAGCTATTTTTTTTTTTTTTTGAGACATGCTCTCCCTGTAGCCCCAGCTATCCTGGAACTCACTATGTAGACCAGGCTGGCCTTGAACTCACAGAGATCCACCTGCCTCTGCCTCCTGAATGCTGGGATTAAAGGCGCCACCACAACTGGCACAAATACATTTTTAAGGTGTGTTTGTGTGTGTGTGTGTGTGTGTGTGTACACATGCTATGGTGTGCTTGTGAAGGTCTGAGAACAACCTTGTGGAGTTGGTTCTCTCCTGCCTTTATGTGGGTTGTGGTGGCAAATGTCTTACCCACTGAGCCATCTTACTGAGCAATATTGGGTAAATATCCAAAATGGAAATATGTATCTTGAGGTTGGAGAGATGGCTCAGCAGTTAAGAGTGAGTATTGCTCTTGCAGAAGGCCAGGGTTCAATTCCCACCATCCACATTGTGACTCATAATCATCTGCAACCCCAGTTCCAGGGGATCTGATGCCCTGTTCAGGTGTTGTACACATATGATGCACATATGATGTGTGCAGGCAACACACTCATACAAAAATAATAAATCTAAAAAACAAATGTATCTTACATATGTGTATTCCTGTGTATTTGGAGATCATACTTCAGGTGACATAGAACCTGGGCTTATGAATTTGAATTTGATGAAAACTTTAAAAAAAATTATTATTTTTATTTTATGTGTATGCATGTATTGCCTGTATGTAGGTAAGTACACCTGTGTCGTGCAATGCCCGCAGAGGTCAGAAGAGGCTGTCAGATCCCTGGGACTGGAGTTATGGACAGTTGTTAACTGCCATGTGGGTGCTGGGATTCAAACCCAGGTCTTCTGCAAGAACAGTATTCTTAACCGCTGAGCCATCTCTCCAATCCCTGATGAAAACTTAAAAAAATATGTATTTTTTAGCCAGTTGTGGTGGCACGTGCCTTTAATCCTAGCATTCACGAGGCAGAGGGAGGTGGATCTTTGTGAATTCTAGGCCAGCCTGGTCTACATAGCCAGTTCCAGGTCAGCTGAGGCTACAGGGAGACCTTCTTTTCTACATTTGTGTATGGGGCATGAGCATGCTGTGGAGCACATGCAGAAGTGAAGAGAAATGCAGGAGTTTGTTCTTTCCTTCCACCTTGTGTGTCTTGGAGATTGAACTCAGGTTGTCAGACTTGGTGGCAAGTGCCCTTACCTGCTGAGTCATCTTGCCAGCCACAATGAGAACTGTAAGGCAGATTGATAGCTATGGTTAAACACAACTTTGATGTAATTATTTTAGTTTGGGAAGTATAAGTATGAAGCACTCTATCTAGTTTTGTATTACTTGTAGTGGGCTATTGAATTATCATGAATTTGCTCCTTAAGAATTTTTTGAGTTAGTTATTTTTATTTCCTGTGTATGAGTGTTTTGCCAGTCTGTATGGAAGTGTGTATGTGGAGGCCAGAAGAGGGTGGCATCAAATCTGACCATATGGGAAACCAAATGGAGTCCTTTGCAAGAGCAAATGCTTTTAACCTCTTAACCATTGAGTCATTTCTCAAGCCCCACTTTTGCTACTTTTTAAAAGTAACTGTTGAGAACAAGTCTGTCTTTTTTTTTTTTAATTTTTAATTTTTTGAGACAGCATGTCACTATGTAGCCCTGGCAAGTTTAGAACTCCATATATAGACCCAGCTGGTCTCAAATTCAGAGTTGTCCATCAGTCTGTTGCCCCCCATCCTTTACCTCTGCCTCCTGAGTGCTGGGATTGAAGGCATGCACCGCCATACCTGGTGACAAGTACTGCAGCTTGTAAAGTATTTAGAAATTGCAAGGGACCATGCAGAATACTTTTAGATGAATTGTCATTTAATCTTCAACCTTGTGATGGAGATTTAATGTATTAGAAAATAATTTTATACTCATTTATTAAAATATTTATTTAGAGTGGGGCATGGTGGTGCACGCCTTTGATCCCAGCACTCATGAGGCAGAGATAGGTGGATCTCTGTGAGTTCAAGGCCAGCCTGGTCTACATTGTGAGTTCCAGCCCAGCTGGGGCTGCAGGGAGACCCTGTCTCAAAAATCCAAATATATATATATATATTTATTACATATATGTTATATATTTATGATTAACATGTAAAACACTATATATAATTAATGTATAGTCAAGATGAGTATTATACCAGTAAAAACATAACTTCCATTAAGGCTATAAATATATTCATGACCTCCTAAAGTCTGAGGTAGGTTTAATTTTACTTTTATGGTGCTTAGGATTGAGCTCAGGACCGCATATTTGCTAAGCATACACTCTACCACTGAGGTGCACCCTAGAGGTAAACCATACAGGCAAACTTAAATCCAGAAGTTTCAGGGATCAAACTTAGGTCACGAGACTTGGCAGCAAGCACCTTTACACATTGAGTCATCTTTCTGGCACAGTAGGTTTAATTTTTTTTTGTTTTGTTTTTTGGTCTTTTTGAGACAGGGTCTCTCTGTAGCCCCAGCTGTTCTGGAACTCACTATGTAGACCAGGCTGGCGTTGAACTCACAGAGATCTACCTACCTCTGCTTCCAGAGTGCTGGGATTAAAGGCATGTGCCACCATGCCTGGCGAAATTTTTTTTGTCTTTTTGAGACAGGGTCTCCCTGTAGTCCCAGCTGACCTGAACTCATGATGTAGATCAGGCTGGCCTTGAACTCACAAAGATCTGCCGGGCGTGGTGATGCACACCTTTAATCCCAGCACTCAGGAGGCAGAGGCAGGTGGATCTCTCTGAGTTCAAGGCCAGCCTGATCTACATCATGAGTTCAGGTCAGCTGGGACTACAGAGAGACCCTGTCTCAAAAAGAAAAAAAAAAAAAAAAAAAAAAAAAAAAAAAAAAAGATCTGCCTGTTTTTGCCTCCCAAGTGCTAGAATTAAAGGCATGAGCCACTATGCCCAGCCTCGGCAAATTTTTTAATTAGTATTTTATATTTATGTGTATGAGTGTTTTGCTTGCATGTTTGTAAATGCACCTGTGTTGTACAATGCCCGTGGAGGCCAGAGGAGGGCTTCAGATCACCTGAAACTGGAGTTATAGATGGTTGTTAGCAACCATGTGGGTGCTGAGACTTGAACTCTGGTCCTTTGGAAGAACAGCCAGTGCTCTTAACCACTAAGCCACCTCTCCAGCCCCTGGGTTTATTTATTTTTATTTATTTATTTATTTATCCATTTATTTATTTATTATTTATTTATTTATTTATTTTTGTCTTTTTGAGACAGGGTCTCCTTGTAGTTCCAGCTGTCCTGAAACTCACTTTGTAGACCAGGCTGGCTTTGAACTCGTAGACCTTGAACTCGCAGAGATCCACCTGCCTCTGCTTCCCAAGTGCTGGGACTAAAGGCATACGGGGACTAACGATGCCTGGCAGGTTTATTTATTTATTTTTAATTTATTTATTTATGCTGAGTGTGGTGCATGCCTTTAATCCCAGGACCAAAATGATAAAAAAAATATATATATATTTTAATTTAAATTTTTTTTTTTTTGGTCTTTTTGAGACAGGGTCTCCCTGTAATCCCAGGTAGCTGGAACTCACTCTTCACACTAGGTTGGCCTCGAGCTCACAGAGATCTGCCTGTCTGCCTCCCAAGTGCTGGGATTAAAGGCATGCACCACCATGCCTGACTCAGTCTACTTTATGTAAAATCACTTTGTCATACTCCTTTTGTGCAATTATAACGAAATATAGTTGGAGTGGCTTAAAAGAAATATTTTCTCACATTTGCAGACTAGGGTTTGAGATCGAAGTGATGTAGTGAAGATTTTCTCTCTGGCTTACAGATGACACGTTTAGGTTGTGTCCTCACCTCATGTGGTGGAAAGGAGGGAGTAGTTAGGTCTCAGAGAGTCTCTCTTTTAAAAAAAAACGTTATTATTTTTATTTTATGTGTATGCCTGTATTGCCTGCTTGTGAGTGCAACCATGTGGTGCAATGCCTCGGAGGTCAGAAGAGGGCTTCGGATTCCCCTGGGACTGGAGTTAAGGAGGGTTCATAGCCACCATGTGGGTGCTGGTAATCAAACTCTGGTCCTCTGCAAGAGCAGTCGGTGCTCTTAACCGCTGACCATCTCTCCAGCTCCTTCCTTTTTTGTCATTAAAACTAAACATAAGAGCTTTCTTCATATTAGCACTTAAGCACCTTGGAGGTGGGTCTGGAAAAGATGGCTCAGTTTAAGAGCATTGGCTGCTCCGCCAGAGGACGGGGGTTAGGTTCCCAGCACCCAATGGCTGGTAACAATAGTCCTTAGCCCCAGTTCCAAGGGATCTGACACCCTCTTCTGGCCTCTTTGGGCAATGGTGCACTTATTTATCACTATGTTTTTGGTACTCTAGAAAGTAACATGGAATTTAAAAAAAAATTCACTCTTTTTTTTTTTTGGTCTTTTTGAAACAGGGCCTCCTTTTACCCCAACCTGTATACACCATACAAAGACATTTTAGTAAACACTAATTCACATATAAGATGTGATTTAAAAATATTGTAATGTAGCTAGGGAGATGGCTGATGGGCAAAGCTGCTGCAATACAAGCAGGAGGACCTGAGTTTAACACCTAGCACACAAGTGAAAATCCAGACATGTTAGCACACCTGTAATCCCAGGGCTGGAGGGGTGGAGACAGGTGGCTCCTTGGAACTCCTGGTTATCAGTGAGCTCCAGGTTTAGTGAGAAACTCCATCTCAAAAACTAAAGAGGAACGAGAGTAAGGAAGACACCTAACTGAGCCATGCTGAGACAAAGAGACTATACACACACACACACACACACACACACACACATATATATATATATATATATATATATATATTCTGTGGAGATTTTGATTTAATAACTATAGAAGAGAATGTGAAAGGCAGAAATGGTCCAGTAATAGGTCATGCTTTAGGATAGGGATCTTGCAACAAAATTCTTAGTTCCAAAGGTGGAAAGGGTAAGGGAAAAGAAACAGGATGGAGCCTTTAAGAAAGTATATTCTTAGGCTGGCATGGTGCCATATGCCTTTAATTCCAGCAGAGGAAGGCAGATCAATGTGAGTTTGAGGCCAGTCTGGTCTACATAGGGACTTCCAGACCAGTAAGGGCTACGTAGAGACCTTGTCTAAAAAAAAAGGAAAAAAAAAAAAGTGTATTCTTATGGCATTAGGGAACACTAATTTTTCAAAAAAATTTTATGTGTTTTGCCTGCGTATGTTAAGTGCACCATGTGTTTGGAGTTATAGATCGTTGTAGGGGCCATGTGCACGCTGGAAACTGAACCTGGGCCCTTTGCAAGTGCAGCCAGTGCACTTAACTGCTGAGCCATCTTTCCAGCTCCAGGAAACAGTATTAGGCACTTTGGACTTCTCCAGGGACTAGTTTAGTGTGGGATTAAGATACAGTTTATGATTTTTAGACCAAACCTTTTCTGGGAGATGGGCACCTTTTCTGTTACTCTTCAGTTTTGGAATCGTGCACTTCAAAACTAAAACCACTTTCCTGGAGGTCCAAAATATTTTTGCCATGAGTCTACCAAACTTGCAAAGAAATTCTTTGTTTACTGACACGGGAAATACTGGGATTTATAAGGTAAGTCAAGAATGACATTTGTTGTATGCTAGGCTCCTCCCATTCATTAACTCGTACAATCCTAGGTAACCCCTCTTGTCTCATTCCCTATTTTACAGTTGGAAATATCTGAGGTGAGCTGTCACACTGTAAAGACACCATAAATCAATACAACAGTTGCAAAGCACGATTAGGGGATCAGGTGACCCCGTGAGGCGAAAGCTGCACCTACAGGACCCTGGCACGCTTCACTGCGCGCCTGTTTCTACAAATCAAACTTCGCGGCTCGGCCCTGGACAGGCATTCCTGGGTGAAACCCTGAGGGTGCGGATCCAGGGTTGCCGGGCCAGGCAACCGGGCGGACTATGCGGGCGCAGGGTGGCTGCAGGGTTTGGGACGCTGGAGGGGGAAGGGGCTCGCCTTGCGGCTGCGTCCTGTGCCCCGCGCCCTGCCCCCAGCCGCTGCCGGCGCTACACCCGGGAGAGCGGAGCGTGCACGCTGAGCCTCCTCCGGCGGGCCGGGCCGCGGCGCTGGGCATGCTCAGTGGGTCGGACCCGCTGGAGCAACGAGTAAGGAAGCGGGGGCTCCTGGGCTCTCGCCAGCCCCGGGTTCAGGCCCCGGCCCTGGGTTTTTTTGTGAGGTGCGGAATCATCGCCTAGTCGCGGAGCAGCGCGACCTCAGATGGCTCGGGGCCTGTCCAGCTTCCGCCGTTGAGCCGATGGCGGGCGGAGGCGCGGGGCGGGGCCGGCAGGCGCGCGGCCGGCGGGAGGCCTGGCGGTGGGGGCGGGGAGGGTGTGGGAAGCGCGGTCACGGGGGTGGGGTCATCGGTAGGTTTGGGAGGCCGCGCGCGGCGGGGCGGGGGCGGCTCGGGGGGAGGGGCCGGACAGGACAGGGAAGCGGCGGCGAGTTCGCGGCCGCGCGGCTCTAGCGAAGCCGCCGCGGGCCCCATCTTCCGGCGGCCGCCGGAGTTTGTGGTGATTGTTGCGGCCGCCGCCCCGGCTGCCATCTCCTCCTCTTCCTCCTCCACTCCTCTCCTTCCTCCTCCTCCTCCTCCTCCTCCTGGGCCGGGCCGTTCCCCTCCCCGCGGCCGCCTCCTCCTGGGCTGGGCCCGCGGTGTCTCGTCCCCTCGCGGAGCCGCTCCTGCCGCCGCCGCCGCCTCCTCATTCATCCTCGTGCACCATAGGCGGCACAGGCACCAAGATGTCCAACCGAGTGGTCTGCCGGGAAGCCAGTCACGCCGGGAGCTGGTACACCGCCTCAGGTAGGGCCCAGGCCGCCGGCAGCTCGCGGTGAGCAACGCGGCCCGCGGCGGGCGGGGACGGGCGGAGGGCGCGCCCCCCCCGGGGGGGCCCCGGGCCGCCGGCAGCGCGCGTGGAGCACCGCGCCCCGGGGCGGGCGGGGACGGGCGGAGGGCGCGGGGCTGGACCGCGTGCGGAGGGAGCGAGCCGGGCCGTGCCGCCTCCCCCACCCGCGGCCGCTGGGGCCTGGCGGAGTTGGGCGCGAGGAGTTGCCGCCTGCCCGGGCCGGGTAGGACGGAGCGCGGGCGGCTGAGCTCCCGGGACGGCCACGGTGTCGTGCCCGCCCGGCGCGGTCCTACCCGACGGACTTCTCCCGCGGCCTCCGCCGGAGCCAAGTCCCTTCGGGTTTCCAGAGGCCGAGCCACGCGGCCAGCCTTGCCCCGCACCTTAAGGAGCCCTGGAAGGAGGGACAGGCAGCACTTTTGCTTTTTTCACGTTGCCACACCAGTTCTGGCAGGGAAGACCTGTCAGACGAGGGCCTCTCCGGGGTTTGTCGCTTTGTGTGTTGAGGATCGGGCAGAAGTGCTGCCGAGCAGGGGCTTCAGTGGCCTCCCAGCGCTTTTGTCAGTGTTTGCATTGTTACTGTCACTCGGGGGCAGCTGGAGGTGGCATCAGCACTTTCCTGAGCAGCCTCTTCTGGAGCCAGCGCTCAGCACCAAGCAGGTGCTGAAACTACCTGCCCTTTTAGTTTAGGTTTTGAGAGAATTGTGTGTTGTGTGCACTGTCTACAAACGGTTTGGAGTTCTTGAGGTAGGAAAGGGTAGGGACTTTCTCTTTAGTAGAACTCTTACAAGGCGTCTTTTCTGGGATTATTTTCAGGGGTCACATTTCTGCTAGGGTAACAAAGAAAAGTTCCTCCGTGATTCCTAATAGTCTTAAGTCATTTGTGACTGGTTTATGGACACCTGGATCTAACTTCTTAATAGGGGTTGCATCAAGTTTCCCTTAGCATATAATTGGGTTGGATAGGGACACGATTTTTGAGAAAATACATTTTGGAAATTCTTTTCTCTGAGATCGTTAAACTAGCTTCTGAAATACATGCCCTTTACTGATTTCACAGAGGATTTGCTCTGTTAAGACACAAAAGGATTATGATTGGATTTGGAGCCACCGATAACAGTTAGCCTTAGTGTTACATTAGAAAAATGTGACATTTTATGGCTGCAGTGGCTTCCTTTCAGGGCCCTGAAGTACTTCACAGTCTTTTTTTTTTTTTTTTGGTCTTTTTGAGACAGGGTCTCCCTGTAGCCCCAGCTGTCCTGGAACTATGTAGACCAGGCTGGCCTTGCACTCACAGATTTTTATTTTATTTGTATGCGTGTATTGCCTGCATGTAGGTAAGTGCAGCTGTGTAGTGCAGTGAATGCCCTCAGAGGACAGAAGAGGCTGTCGGATCCCCTGGAACTGGAGTTAAGGACAGTTGTTAGCTGCCATGTGGGTGCTGGGATTTGAACCTGGGTCTTCTGTAAGAACAGTGTTCTTAACCGCTGAGACATCTCTTCAGCCCCCCTTTACAGTCTTTTAATCAGATCTTGCAACCCGACCATGTCAGTTAAGTTGTTCATGTGTCAGTATATTGGGAAACATGTCAAGAAATTGAGGGCTGTACCCAAGACTAAGCCAGTGGTAAAATTGAGCAAGCTGAGTCTCTGCCTCCTAGTTTTCCCCTATATAATTAGTGCATTATGATTAGTATTACTCCTTAACGGACAATAGGCTTGTAAATAAGCTTTCTCTTCTGTGTGTTTTGGGAGTTTGAACGTTACAGTTTTTGGGTTTTATTCATTGTGACATTCTTTTCTTTTTCTTTGCTTTCCTTTTTTTTTTTTTTTTTTTTAAGATGGCCTTCCTGTAACCCTAGCTGGCCACTGGCCTGGAACTCTTGATGTAAACCAGGCTGGCCTCGATCTCAGGGAGATCCACCTGTCTCTGCCTCCTGTGTCCTGGGATTAAAGGTGTGTGCTAACACAATGGCTTCTTTTTTATATAAAATTTAAAAAATTTATGTGTTTGAGTATGAGTATGTGTATGCTTTCCCTGTATGTGTGTAAATGCAGTATTTGTGTGTAGTGTCTATGGAGGCCAGAAGAGGGTGTTGGATTCCCTGGAACCTGGAGTTAAGGATGGTTGTGAGTTGCCATGTGGGTGATGGGAACTGAACCCTGGTCCTCCACAAGAGCAGCCAGTGCTCTTTAACTGCTGAGCCATCTCTCCAGCTCCTTATTGTGGTTTTTCTGTACATTTCTTGTAGATGTTTTAAACTTTTGTTGTAGTTTTTGTGGGAATGTGAGCAGTTATTCTGGAGGAATTTTTGTGGATTAAAAAATTTTTTTAGGGCTAGAGAGATGGCTCATGGGTTAAGATCACAGACTGTTCTCGCAGAGGGCCTAACTAGGTTTGGTTCCCAGCACCCACATGGTAGCTAGCACCAGCCTGAAACTAGTTCCAGGGGATCTGAACTATCTAATCTCCATGGGCATTGTGTAACACAGGTGCACTTACATACATGCAGGCAAAACACCCATCTACACATAAAAGAAAAATAATAAATAGTAATAAATAGAATTTTTTTTTTTGGTCTTTTTGAGACAGGGTCTCCCTGTACCCCCAGCTGGAACTCACTATGTAGACCAGGCTGGCCTTGAATTTACAGAGATTCACCTGCCTCTGCCTCCCAAGTATTGGGACTAAAGGTGTGTACCACCACACCTGGCTTAAATAGAATGTTTTTAAAAATTTTATTTTATGTGCTATGACTGTTTTCCCTGTATGCATGCAAGTGCTCCATGTGAGTGTGATGGCCATGGAGGCCAGAAGAAAATGTTGGATCTCCTGGAACTGGAGTTAAGGACTGGTATTAGCTACCATGTGGGTACTGGGAACTGAGCCTTGGTCTTCTGCAAGAGCAGCCAGTGCTCATAACCACTGAGCCGTCTCTCCAGGCCCCAGAGCCCTTAGTGTGTGTGTGAGTGTGTATGTGTGAGTGTGTGTGTGTGTGTCTGTGTGTGTGTGTGTCTGTGTGTGTGTGTTTTGAATGGTCTCCCTCCCTGTAGCCCCAGCTAGCCTGGAGCTCAAGATGCACTAGGCTGCCCTTGATTTCACAGAGATTCACCTGCCTCTGCCTCCCAACTGCTGGGAAAGATTAAAGGTGTGTGCCACCACTCCAGGCTCCCTAGATACTTTCTTTAAAAAATTTTATTTTTTGGGGGGGGCGGGGGCTGGAGAGATGGCTCAGCGGTTAAGAGCGCTGACTGCTCTTGCAGAGGACCCGGGTTTGATTCCCAGCACCCACACAGCTATGAATCTTCCTGAACTCCAGTTCTAGGGGAATCCGAAGCCCTCTTCTTACCTCTGTGGCATTGCATGACACTGGTGCACTCACATACAAGCAGGCAATGCACTCCTACATCTAAAATAAAAAAATAACAAAATATTAAAAAATTTTATTTTTATTTTATGTGTATTTTACCTGCATGTATGTAAATGCATTCATGCATACAATGTCTGCAGAGGAACTGCAGTTATGGACAGTTACTAACCGTTACGAGCGAGTACTGGGAACCTAATTCAGGTGTTTTACAAGAATATCCAGTATTATTAACTGCTGAACTCTCTCCATCTCCTAAATTTTTATCAATTTTAAAATTGGGCACAACTCACACTTTGGTTTTATGATTTTTTTTTAGAGTTCAAACATAAGATGCATACTTTAATCTAGCTCAAAATTCTCATTGTAGTTATTTATTAGTAGTAAATTAACATGGGTTATTTCCTTAAAGCATTAATATAGGGAATCATATTTTTATTTCCCTAAATTCTCAGTGAACTAAATAATGCCATTTTGGTAATGTGAACTGTCACGGAGAACCTTACTAAACTCAGATCTATGGCTTTTTGGGATGTGTGAGACTTTTTGAACTTGAGTAATAATTGAGGAAATTAAGGATGAATTTAAAGCCATTTAGTTTCAGAAGCTTATTTGTATTTTAAAAACAAAGCAGAATTATAGGTAAGCAAATTTAGAATTGTTTTAATAACTTGTGTTTGTAAAATTGTGTTATTTTTCCTATGTTGAAATAAATCGTCTACTACTGGGAGGTTTCTATATTTGTATTTTGCTATTGTTTCTCCAGTAAAATTCTGCAGAATAGGAAAGATGTATTTGTCTTTTTTTTTTGGTCTTTTTGAGACAGGGTCTCTGGCCTGGAACTCACTATGTAGACCAGGCTGGCCTTGAACTCACAGAGATCTGGCTGCCTCTGCCTCTATCATTAAAGTTGTGATCATAGAATGAAAGTATTTAGTTATAAGGATGAAAGCACATTGGCTTCAATTAACTAGCTGTTTCAGAAAAAAAAAGTACATTTATGTTACATGCACTCAAACAGACATGTCTTTATCTTATTTACCCCTTGTTATATGTTGTTAAATCCACTGACTGAGAATGGTATAAATTGCTACCTGCTCTCAAGGAATTTACTGTTTATTTGAAGTAAACCAGAGCAGCAATTAAATTCTGGTAAGTTGTGATAGAGCTTTTAGAAGTTCAGAGGAGGGTGGAGTCACTTTGGAGGTAGGATTTGAATTGTGCTTTGAAGGAAGGGTTTTTATCAAGTTTGGAGCAGGAGGAGAGAACGTTGGATTGATAAACAGCACAAATATACAGAGGCAGGTAATTGTAAGTAGTTCAATTGAGTAAGAAAGAAAAATTCTCAAGCTTAGGATGTAGCTTGGAGCTGAAGAGGCCTGTAAATGCTAGACACCTATCACCTATGGTAGGGGTTGGATTTAGTAAAAGCAGTGAACACCAGTAGGGTATTAATGATGCAAGTAACATTTTAGGAAAATTAATCTCATAGTAAGGTTAATTCTTATTTCTTTACCAATGTGCATCAGGGATCAGCAAACTCCCTAACTATGGTTCACATCCCAGAACCAACCTTATAAAAAAGTAGTTCAT